GATTTCCGGAAAACAGCTCTATGTTTCCAGCAGAAGCAAACGCCATGTTAGCAGCTCTTGAATATATCCAAAAATGCTCTAAACATAAACAATACATAATCTTTTCTGACTCTCCTTCTTGTTTTCAGGCTATTCAAAACTTATCTTGTAAACATCCACTTTTAATTGAAATTATTGAATGATATAATGATCTTGCTACTGGCAAATACGACATCGTCTTTTGTTGGTTACCAAGCCACGTTGGCATTTCTAGGAACACAGTGGCCTCTTGCTGCTGAGGCAGCACTCAACAAATATTTGACACCATTTCTGATCCCATACTCAGATTGTAAAGCTACCATAAGATCGTTCGTCCGTGATATGATGCAAAAGAAGTGGACACTCAAGTGGGTATTATTAAATTACATGAAATTAAACCTTATATTGGTTACACCTACTTGGGTTGTCAGTCGAGATTTGAAGAGGTCATCATGCGACGATGTCGTATTGGCCATACTAGATACCTGTTAATACCTGTTAAAAGGTGTGGATCCTCCGTTATCATCCCTTGTGATGTGAGAGTCTCAGTCAAACATGTCTTGCTTGACTGTGTTGAATATTCCATCACAAGGGATAACTATTTCAAATCACGAACTATGAAGGATCTTTCTAGGTAGATTGAAACCTACTGTTATTTCTAATCGTAGCATATATGTTCTTTTAAAGTACGGCTAGATTGTCAAAAGTTGCTGACAGCTGAAGGGATAAAGTAAATCCTGCTAGGGTCCATGCAGTTAGCAAAAGTAATGTAAGTCCCCATGGTCCCTAGTGTGGTGATCTACCTTCAGTTGTTGGCGATCTATAGCCAATTTTTATACTGTGTTGTCCTAATTTGAAATCTAATTTTAAAGAGAGTTGCTAGTTTTATTCCTTGATACTGTGATGTTGTAGTTGATTTTACTGTTCTTCGTCGGATTATATAATTTATATGTATACTCATGCCAATAATGGTTGTCACCCCCTTCAATTTTTTTAATTGGAGAGGGGGTGTGGGGTAGGGGTGTTAGGTATGTGTGGGGTTGGGGTGGGGAGTGGGTTGACAACCATTATTGTCATGAGTATATTTATGGTGAATTCACAACTTGTTTATAGTCACGATATGGTTAAAATATTGCCGATGTGACTTAAAATCTTTACTCACTCACTCACTCGAAATGAAGTTCTGAAGACGCATGTGCGTTTCTGGTTTTTTTTAAGAGTGTATGTACTTACTGGCAAACAAGGATAACTTGAGCACCGACCTGACACCTGACCCTATCAGCATGTATGAGTTTCGCCCACTGGCGCTTGTAGTGGAGCGGATAATCAGATAGAATGTGCATTTAATGATAAAAGCATGAAAGTTTGCACATTCATAGACCAATGTAAAGTGAACATTTTAGCATATGGAGGCACTCAAAATAATTTCATCTTGCGCATGCGCAGTAGATAAATAATATTTTGCCGTTTCTGGCTACAGCTATAGCTTTGGGCCTGCCATTAATACCCTTCTGGGATGACTTTTTTAAAAAACCCAAAAAATCTGACCCAATTACTGGTAAAAACATCTTGAAAACATAGTATTGCCATTGTTAGCGAAGGGGCCCCAGGTTGTCCGCAATCAAGTGTAGTGCGATGGGTGAAGCAAGGCGCTGGGTGTGCAGTTACGCGCAGAATCTATTTGATCGTCATGTACTGCACGTGCACTAGCTTACATCTGCTCTACCTTTCACAAACCAAATGGGTTTGCTCATCGCTGTGCACCGCCTACCTCTCGTGAACGGGTTCTATGCGCCGGTCCAACTTATCCTTGTTTGCCAGTAATTTATCATAATAAAATGCAGCCATTGTAGAAATTTGTAGAAATCAACTATTCACCAACACAATCATTTTATACATCATGCATCATAAACCCCTACAGATAACAAAAAACGTGAGTGAGTGAGTGAATTAAAGTTTAAGGTCACTTTGGCAATATTTCATCCATATCGTGACTAAAACAAGTTTTAGATTAACAATAAGTAAAGATAGATTATAAAATCCTGTCAACGAAGGACCGTAAAACAACTAGAACATCACAGATATAAATGTAAAACTAGTAATTAAATCTAAAACATATTTACCATAGAGGACAACACAATATAAAAATAGGCTATAGATCCCAAACAACTGAGGGTAGATCACCATACCAGGGACCATGGGGACATACAGTACCTTTGCTACCTGCATGGACCCTAGCTGGATTTACACCATCCCTTCAGCTGCTGGCGATTATAAGGAATGTTAGCCAAAATTAAAATAACAAGAATACTACGTTAAAAAATCCTGGTAAGTTTAAATTGACTTTGAAAGCTTTGGGACTTACGTACCCTCTCAGGAGGACAATAATTTCACGAAACTTTAAACACCTTAGAGGATACAGCCACTAACAATCACAGTTGCTTATTTATACTACCATCTTAAAATACCATTTATCTATTTACAAATCATTTAACAAGTCCAATTCTTTTTCAAGTCCAATTAAATGAGAACTGATATTATTTCAATTCTTTTCAAAATGTCCATTATATATTTTTAAATCATATTTGACAATTGCATTATGATACGCAGGGGATGATTTCACATTATTTGCCAGCGACTGTGTATTTTACAATTATTTGAACATTGTTTTTCACTTCTCTAAGTTGTATACCTGCTACCTGTTTGTGTTAAAAATTCCAATATGATCGGGCCGACGACATTCACACGTCGCATACAAGACCTTCACATTTCGTGTATCGCATCAGCTATTCGCTGTGATGAATTATATATATTATTATATATATATACGTATAAAATGAAAATACACTCCAGGTTTTAAAGTGTGACATTCATAACCGATTGCTGAACGTCAACAAAACGACAAAACATGACCTGTTTGAACGATCAGCTAATGCCACCGCCTCGTTTCGAACGGTCATCCATGATTCATTATTGCAATATAAGCAATGGTAGTTATCACTGAATCACGAAACAAATATTTCAGGACATTGCACTTGATATATATCTTCGTTCAAGGGCAAATAGGTGCTGTCCATGCACCAGCGTGAACGTTACCGGTGAAGGTTAAGGCTACACTGGTTAACTCTGTGTAAGTGTAATAAAAACACCTACAGCGCGCTGCCACTGCCAGACTGCTGCCATTACTGTTACCTTTATGTGTTGTTGTTTTCCAGTCAATCTAATAGAATCTAAGACTATGAACTCGGCTGTAATCTACAGGAATAAATAGAAGTACATGAATATTCTGAATTGTCGTTTATGAAGTGAAGTTTGAAACCAAGAAACCAACAGCGGGAGATAAATTCATATCAATTACCTACACAAATGTTGGATATTCTGAATTTTATCCCAGCTATATGCTAACCTTCTGGTTTCCCTGTGAATATTTGTTCTTCTTCTTGAGTTGATGCGGAACCGGGCGGGCTGTCAGTTACCTGTGGAGTTGTCACAGTTGGAAATCCAGTATCTTTCAAAGCCTCTAACTCCTCAAGGTCTACGGTAATGTTGGCTATCGCGTCTTCATATTTCGCCAACAATTCTTGCCTTTTGGCGTCCCGCTCCGCACGATCCTCAGCTGTTGGCGCACTCAGTTTTAAGTTCGTGAAGTCAATCGCCAAGCTGCTTTCCATGACCATCAACAGAAGGAAGGTCCGTGTGAGATAGGGGCTCATTGTAGGATATTGTTGACCGTGTGTTCGACAATGGTTCGAGACCTTCAAACGCAGGGCCTTTTATTGCCAATTCAACTGAAATCGTGTTTAGGGTATTAGTGTTAGGTATAGTGGGTCACAACTCTGGCTGATAACAAACTATGATAACTGCTGCGAGCTGGTAACTGATACATGTCCAATTACATTCAGAATTCACAATGGTTAACCTCTTATGTCAAGCTGTCTTTCATGGGTATTTCAGTGTCAGTATACCGGGATTAGTTTGTTATCTTTTTTATCTTGATGCTGTGAGTGATGTTGACCATTTGAGGTTTTCATATACTGTACTCTTAAAAAAGTAGGGAAACTTCATGTATAATTTACGATTGAGACAAATTGGAGATATATCGGAGTCAATCAATGTTGATATGATAATCAATGAGAGTGCATCACCACTTGAACTTCCTTATGACCAGAGTTGTTTGTACAGTTATCGCTCTTGAAAGATGATTTGAGTTTGACAAATTGCATGAGTACAATTTTCATTTTCAGACGTAAAAACGGCTAAAACCAAATACTAACAACTGTGTGATGCAAGGCGATAGTCAAAACTAATGGTCGTCAGTGTTTTATGGACCGTCTGGAAAACCGTCAAAATCAAGAAAGACTACCTATGCACGTGTATGGGGGCTTCTGCGTTGTCCATGCGTTGTGTTTAGGGATGATGATGAAAAGAAATGGTGGTGCGTTCATAAGGTGACTGTCTTTGAAAAGTTTGTTAACTATACTTATATACTCAGCAGCAAAAAAACCCGTCAGTACGAATTCAAATTAGATAGGCACTGTAATCAAATCATTACAGAAATGGACATAATAAGCGGATCAAAAACATTGTTTGTGTACAATATCCTGACACGTCAATGAATAACTCAGCAAAATAGTCCTTCTGCCAAAATGATCGATCTAGAGTTACCTACCTTTTGACCGGACATCCGAGGTAAACAAACATGGATGACAGCCGATCGTTTGCTTGTATGACAGTTGCATAAATACAGGGGAAAGGGGAATTTCAGTCACTGGTTACAATAGAGAAGGGTTATTACAGTTAGCATATGCGGCAAAATGCTTAAATATAACTGAAGATCCCGACTTGATGCACGCGCACGACGATGTAACTGACAAGCTTCGTAAACAAGGTGTTCCATCCACAGTGACAGACCCATTCACAGCAGAGGGTTACAATCAAGATTCTTCCCACATGCCATCTTTAGGACTGATTGATATTTTTAATTATCTTCTCTGTTCGAGCTCTGACTACGATGGAAACAAAATTGTAGAGCTATATGTCATTTGGGGATTACAGGTACGAATTATAGATCACTATCAATATATTTCTCCTGTCATGACTATTTTTGCCTTTTGTAAACATTATAAACTCTGTCAAAAAAGAAACGCAACCCCTGTATTTTAGAGATTTTGATCTGAAGTTTTAAGACGACACAGCATTTTTATTATTTAAGACAGAAGTCTGAAATTTGGCAGAAGAATAACCAAGATGGGCATGTTTAAAATTGTCATTTCAAAAGTCATCTCACAGACACCAGTTTGTCACCAGGGGGGGCGTCTTTCTCAGTATCTCGTATGAGCACCACGAGCTGCAATCACTGCACGGCATCTCCTTGGACAAGAACGGATAAGACGCCGGATTCTTTCCTGGGGAATGGCTCTCCACTCCTCCTGCAGTGCAACGCCGAGCTGTTGCAGCGTCTGTGGCGGCGGCTGACGTTGACGTACGCGTCGACCCAGAGTATCCCACAGGTGTTCAATAGGGTTGAGGTCTGGTGATTTAGAGGGCTATGGCAAGACATTGACGTTGGAATTCTGCAGAAAGTTCATTGTTGCACGTGCAGTATGAGGCCGGGCGTTGTCTGGTTGAAAAATCTGTGTCTGTTGGTCAATAATCGGGAGAAGGTGAGGCTGTAATACGTGGTTGATGTAACGTTGGGCTGTCAGGTTCCCTTCAACGATCACCAAGTCTGATTTCTGGTTGTATGAGATGGATCCCCAAACCATAACGCTTTCTCCGCCAAATCTGTCCCCTGTCGGACGCAGATGGGCGCAAAACGTTCATGACGTCTCCTATACACACGTTTTTCTTCCGTCGTGACGTTGCAAAGAAAACGGATTCATCAGAAAACCAGATGCGCCTCCAGTTTTGTAAAGTCCATATCCTTACGTTGTTGCACCACCTGAGTCGTCGGCGGAGATGTAGGGGGCGTAGTACAGGTCCAACAACTGGTCTACAGGCACGTAAACCCGCTTCTTTCAGACGGTTCCTAATCGTTTGAGCTGACACTCTCCTCAAACCTGGTATTTGTGTGGCAGTCACGGTTGGTAGGGCATGCCGATTACGCAGGTGATGGACCCGGATGTACCGATCTTGAAGGGGTCGTGATTCTTGGCCTTCCACTTCTCGGGCGATCGTTGGTCAAATTGAAGTTGTTGTAGCGGCTCCAAAGTCGGGATATCGTTGTTTTGTGAACATTTAGGTGCCGTGCAACAGTTCCAAAACTTTCTCCGGCTTTGAACACGACCAATGGCGATATTTCGGTCGGCAGCACTCAATCGTGGCATTTTTAACACAGCTTTTCGGCGACAAATGAATGAATATAATACGAAAGCACATGGGCTTTTATACACCCCTACATTAACTGCCATTTTCATGATTTGCATGTGTTTTTTATGTGCGAAGTCACCATGAGGGTCATTTCATGCGTTGTGACGGAATAAGCAATAAAATACACTTATGCGTACAAATGCAGTTGTTTGGATGGTAATCTTCATTAATTACGTGTATAATTTCAATACATTCGAATAAAATTTAGTTTGGAAGCAATAACTTCATTCAAACGAATTTTTCATATCTGAGGACAGGGGTTGCGTTTCTTTTTTGACAGAGTTTATTTACTTAAAATATGTAAATAATTTGATATGATAATTATGATAATGATTTTTTTTACATTTCAATTTACATTTTACTTTCAGGCTGTTCTATGATGGCCATGTACAACTGCTGGAAATAAACACCCTTACAGATGATAGCCAGGTTTGCCTCTTCAGCGCTAAGGTCAAACCTACCCGGAGGGATAGGACCTACCTGAATCAAAGCTGTTACCAGCTTTTTGTTGTCATGGACAAGGTTGAGGGAGAAGTGAAAATGGTCTACTGTCAATGTATTGGAGGGTAAGTATTTGAATATTACATTCAGTAATGATGAGAATGGATTTAAGCCTATATCTTGATATAGGCCGAAAACAATATTGTCTGGAAGCTTTTGAGACAAATCTATAAAAAAATGGTTGAAATAAAATAATTATTATCAGGTATGATAGGATAAAATTTGAATAAAAATGACTTGAATGTTTCAATATATTTTATTATTTAGCAAACAAATCATGATGTATATTTATAGATCAGATGGAGCATGCCGTCACATTGGAGCAGCATTATATGGTATAGAGAATGTTGAGCCAACATCTTGCACCGATGGAGCCAATCAGTGGATGAAGCGACCTCGTTTACATGATGCGGCCGTCCCTGTCAAGAATCTGACTGTCCTCAAGGGCAAGATATGGCACAACTCCTGTCGTCAACAATGTGTCACCAGATGTCGACTCATATGATCCCGGGCCCCTGAAGACCGTATGCCATATACACAAGAACAGAAGCGAGACTTTGGTCTACAACTGAGCAAGGTGTGTTCATAATTCAGAGTTTATGCATTCTTTATTTAATCTTATTAAGAAATAATACATAACATGAGATGTCACAAAATAATAGACAAATTTATTGATCAACGTAACATTTAGGTGTCACTTAGATTACAACAGTGTGGGAAATAGACACCCAATTGCCAACCCAATACTTGGTAAAAGTTGGCTACGTTTCTAGCTCATTTTATACACTGACTAGTAATCTGATGTACACAATGACTTATGGTTTGATTGATTCCTCTGTTAGAGTTATCCCCAGATGTTCAGGCTCTAGATATACTTCTCTGTCCAGAAGATCTCATATCTATGAAGACCAGTGATCAGAAGTCCATCACAGATTTATCCATTCCATCAAAATCACAGTGTTATGCATCAGATCACAAGAATAAATTAGTTAACTGTGAGTCCTTGGATGAACTTGAAACTATCTGTGATGACTTTTTACAGTAAACTCTGTACTTACTCTGAACAGGAATGCAAGGATATTGCTATGTACACTGTTGGGCAGTCTATTAACGATACATGGTTTGAACAAAGAGCTGGAAGGTTAACTGCTTCCAACTTCAAACAAGCATGTTCCCATTCATGAAATCTATCATGTGTGAGGACAGAAGTGAAGCTAAAGATAATTGTGAACCACTTATGTGGGGAAGAAAGAAGGCGCCAGTTGCTCGACACATGTATACTGACTTGTACGGCTCCAGCCACAAGTCTCTTAAGGTTCATGAACATGGACTGTTCATAAACTCATCATATCCTGCTTTAGGATGCAGTGTTGATGGTGTTGAGCAATACGTA